CGGTGAGCTCCAAAATGCCCTCCACATTCTAGTGTATGGTAATGCATCAAAATATCTGCCATCTCCTCTTCCAGAACATATCACCTAATGATTTGGTCCGTACAATGCATGTAGAGTACCGGTTCTTCCCAATAGTAATGCTTTACTTCCGAGAAAATTTTCTTCTTTCGTTGGTAAGAAAAGTCAGGAAGAATGATTTTTCTTGCAAGAAAATTGACATAATCTACCTACCAAGGTAGAGGCGTGTTAGAAGAAATAGCTAAAATTTGCTCATCCGAGAAATTATCATCTATGGGCGGTCGTTGAGACTCAAGTTTCTCTTGTAACTCTAGCCGTGAGAGATGATTTGCTACCAAATTTTCGGTTCTCTCAATATCAAATTCTTGTAGTAAGAGAACCCAACGGATGAGTCTTGGCTTGGCTTCCTTCTTGACAAAAAGGTATTTAATGGTAGAATGATCGGTGTAGACTATTACCTTATTCCCAATGAGATATGGTCGAAACTTGTCGAAAGCGAAGACTATAAAAAGTAGCTTTTTCTCAATTGTGGCGTAATTGAGTTGAGAATCATTTTCTTTTTAGTTAAAGGAGGGGATACCTTCGAGAATTTATTAATATTCCCTCACTTGTGGGGGATGAATGAAACATCATTAAGGGTTCTGCTAGCATAATAAATGGTATAAAATTATTTGTTCTTTCGCTGCCCCAATACCACGCCAACCGCACAGACACTTGCTTCACATATCAATTCAAACTGTAGATCCCAATCCGGAGCTATAACAAACGGAGTCGACACAAGCTTTTTTTTTTAGCAACAAGAACGCCTTGTCACATTCTTTATCAAACACAAATTGTATTTCTTTCACAAGCAAGCTACAAAGGGGTTTGGAGATCTTGGAAAAGTCCTTAATGAATATTCTATAAAATCCGACATGTCCAAGAAAGCTCATAACTCCTTTTATTGTTGTTGGTGATGGAATCTTCTCGATTGTCTCAATTTTTACTCTATCTACTTCATTTCACTTATAAGAGATCCGATGACCCAAGACAATTTCCTCTTTTACCATGAAGTGACACTTTTCCCAATTAAGCACAATGTTAATTTCTTCACATCTCTTCAAAACTAATGCCAAATTCCCAAGGCAATCATCAAAAGAAGATCCGAATACGGAGAAATCATCCATGAAAATTTCAATAATCCGCTCTACCATATCCGAAGAGATTGCCATCATACACCTTTGGAAGGTGGATGGTGTATTGCAAAGCCTAAATGGCATTCGACGAAAGGTGGAAGTGTCGTAAGGGCATGTGAAGGTGGTCTTCTCATGGTCCTCCAGTGCTATGGCTATTTGATTATACCCTGAATAGCCATCTAGGAAGCAATAGTACTCATACCTGGCTAGCCTATCCAACATTTGATCAATGAATGGCAAGGGAAAGTGGTTCTTCCGAGTGGTTTTGTTCAATTTTCGATAATCCATGCAAATTCTCCACCCGTTAATATTTTTGTACTGATCAACTCATTGTTAGCATTCTTCACCACTGTCATTCCTCTTTTCTTTGGTACTACTTGAACAGGACCGATCCATGAGCTATCAGAAATTGGGTAAGTCACCGTGTCATCTAACCATTTTAAAACCTCTTTACGCACCACTTCCTTCATTGTTGGATTGAGTCTTCGTTGTTGCTCCACTGTTTGCTTGCACTCTTCCTCCAACAAAATTCGGTGCATACAAATAGAAGGGCTAATTTCCTTGATATCTGATAGTGTCCACCCAATTGCTACCTTATGTTTTCTAGGCACTCTTAACAACTTTTCCTCTTCTTCAATGGAAAGCTTGGATGAAATAATTACCAAAAGAGAAGATGATTCGCCAAGATATGCATATTGAAGATGTTCAGGTAAGGGCTTAAGCTCCAACGCGGGAGGTTTCTCAATAGATGGAAGGGGCCGTGAGGTTCTACGTCCTAAATCTTCAAAATATTTTCTATTGTTAGGACCAAAGGAATCCATCCACGAGGCATATTCTAACACTTCCAGATCCTCTACCATAGTCAGATTGGGAATAACTAAACAGGCTTCCAACGATTCCTTTTGTTGATTAAATACTTCGGTGACCAAAGAGTCAATTGTTTGGATGCTGAAACAACTTTCACTTGTATCCAGATACTTGATGGCATTAAAAACATTGAAGGTTACCTCATCCTCTTGTACCCTCAACAGCAATTCCCCCATTTGGACATCAATTAGAGCTTGGCTAGTAGCTAAGATGATGGGGATTTCTCTATCCTCCTCCATGTCTAGAATTAGGAAGTCATCTGGAAGAATAAACTTGTCCACCTTGACAAACACGTCTTCAATAATTCCACGTGGGTATTTTATTGAGCGATCCGCTAATTGCAATGAAATTGTAGTGAACTCGCCTCACGTAATCCAAGTTTCCTGAAAATACACAAAGGCATGAGATTAATACTTGCACCTAAGTCACATAAAGCTTTCTCAAACACAGAATTTCCAATTGAACAAGGGATAGCGAAGCTTCCTGGATCCTTGAGCTTTGGAAGCAATTTTTTTTGTAGGATTTTACTACATTCTTCAGTAAGGGCTACCGTTTCATACTCTTCCATTCTCCTCTTTTTTCGACAAGATGTCCTTCATAAATTTCACATAGCTTCGCATATGTTCTAGAGCTTCTGCAAAAGGAATGTTAATATGAAATTTTTTAAAACATCTAGAAATTTAGAAAATTGCTTATTAAGCTTATTGTTTTTGAGTCATTGAGGGAATGGAAACCTTGGTACTCGATCCTGTGGTGGGATTGGTTGATTTTCGAAAATCTCCTTGATAAGCAGTGGTGTGTAAAGTTGCACCTCTTGATCTTCTTTTTCTAAATTTTTACCCGTAGTTGGAGTTTGTAACTCTTTCTCACTTCTCAAAGTAATCGCCTTGCACTGTTTCTTTGGATTCATTTCAGTCATGCTAGGCAAATTACCTTGTTGTCTCCCAGTTAGCATATTGGCCAATTGACCTACTTGGGTTTTTGAATTCCGAATCGAAGCTGCTTGATTATGAAAATTGGTCTTAGTCTCTATTATGAATTGGTTGGTGTTAGTTGCCAATTGGGCCATTGCTTCTTCAAGTGTTGACTTCTCTTTCGGTAGGGCACTAGATGACGGACATGGTGGAGGCTTCAATATATTCTAATTAGTCCATGAAAAATTAGGATGATTTCTCCATCCGGGGTTATATGTTGCAATGTATGGATTATTTTACCGATTGTAATTTGCAATAAAGTGTGTTTGCTCTGCTTGGGATTGAGAGAAGGGATTTTCCACTTGACATTCTTCACTAGGATGGTTTCCATGACAACGATCACAAACTGGTGGTGTCAAGTGAATGGCATTTGCTGTCAGTTGGTTAGCCTTCAATTGTTGAGTAAGATTATGGACTTGAGCTATTAAGGTAGTGATAACTTCAATCTCATGTACTCTTACTGCCTTCTTTGGTAAAATTCTCTCACTCGGCCATTGATAGTTATTCATCGCCATCGCCTCCAACAGATCATATGCATCATTTAGGGATTTGCCCATAAAAGCTCCTCCTGAAGCGTTGCTTAAACGTATCGTAAACTTCCAGAAAAATTGCTATATGGGAATTGGGGTCATCACTTGGAAATCCATGGAATTGGATTGATGTTTGAATCATTTGTAGAATAGCCGGCTTAATCTCAAAGTTGTTGGCTGTATAACTAGGCTCCGTGATAACTGACTTGATTCTTGTGACCTGTGGTAGAGTAAAATCCCTTAGAGCTCGTGTGTCACGTCTTGGATTCTCGTTGTCCGCCATAGTGTTTAAATTTTTTTTAGCTTCTCGCTTTTTCTTCCTTAGTCCCTTTGCAATTTTCTCAATTTTTGGATCATAAGGTAGTAGTTCCAAACTCGTGTTGCATCTCATATACTAAGTAAAAACCTGGAAAAAAAATCAAATTAGATCAAATTTAACTAGTAATTATATTATCAATAATTTTATCTACTTCCCCGACAACGGCGCCAAAAACTTATATGTTGAAATCGCAAGTGCACGAATCGTAACAAGTAATAAAGTGAATGAGCAAGAGTATCGTCCCACGAGGAATGAAAAAAATTACAAATGAGTATCAAAATTTATTAAGCCTATGTTTGGTAACCATTTTTACCATAAAAATACATTTTTCCTGTCAAATCAGTGGGACCCTCCTGTGATTATGCACTGACTGCAGGAATTCCAATTTATTGGGCTGCCCTTACTATAGTTAATAATGCATTTTGAATATGAGCCCATTGGTCATTTTAGTCCCTGTTTGGTCA